TTATTACTGTTTGTAAATATTATCCTAAAATGTAGTCACTGCCTTTTAAGTACTTGAATTTGTGTCTCAGGAACATGTAATGGAGGTTCTGCCCTCTCTAGGCTGGGTTGATTAGTTTCTAGTTCTGCTGCGTAGTTGCTCTGAGTATTTCATTGCCATCACCTTAGATTCTCTTTTGTCCTTTGCCTTGCTTTGAGTTCTTTGTTATAGGAACCCCTTGTCTGTTTTTCCTAATAACTGTTTTGTAACTTTGTTGGAGCATATCTTTCATAATTTTCTGAGAAAAGGTGCATGGGAAGTAACTTTGTTGCTGTGGTATATGTCTAAAAATGACTTGAGTCTTTGAGTTTATAAAATTTTATTTATAATTTATGTAATTTATTTATATAATGATAATTTATAAGTAATTTATATAATTGATAATTTAGCTAAAAATAAAATTCTACATTTGGTATCGTCTGCTTTTAGTGTCTTGAAAGCATTGCTTCGTTGTCTTCTAGCTTTTAGTCTTGAATCTTGGTGCCACTTTTAGTTTTTTTCTATGACTAGGGATTGGACCCAAGGATCTACATCTTCAGCACCCTCTTTTACTTTATTTGAGAAACGCCTTACAGATTTGCCCGGGCTGGCCTATCTCAGCCTTTGAAGTCCCTGGGTGTATGGGTATACACCACCATACTTAGTTTGATTCTTGATTCTTTACATGAATCCTGTTTTTCTGCCTAGAAACTTACAGAATCTACTTTGTCCTTGGCATTTTATAATTTCCTTATTATATGTCTTATTTTACCCATTTGTCTGGATAATACAGAGGCCGTATTAATCTAAAAAACTCATAGAATGAAAACAGGAGATTTTTGTAAAGTATGATTCATGATTTACATTGTTTTCTTCTTTTGTACTCTTATTGTTTGAATATTAGAATAGCCCAGCAGTTTTCTTAACTTTTTTCTTGTTTCCTATTTGTTTTTGATGTGATTAGTGTGTTCTCTGAGAGTATTAAATAGTTTTTAAGATTGCTTAGCCCCCCTTGGCATGTCTTTTAAATTAGATAAATCTATCAAGTGTTGGGTGGAGCAAGAGAAAACTGAAAGCTCTCTGGGCATGAGTGAGATTTGTGCACTAGAGACTTCATTGTGGGGTGATCTGCTTGGACATATTCCTCTAGGCGTGTTTCTTGTTTTTTTTTTCTTTGGTACTGAGGATTGAACTCAGGAGCTTGCCCTTGTGAGGCAGGCTGCCACATCACTGAGCTAAATCTCCAACCCCTCTAGGCCTGTTCCTAGTGTCAGTATCTTTAGGCAGTTACTCTTTGTTTGAGCCAGTTAGATTCCTCATAGAGAGCTTTTCAAACTGCAATACCAGGAAAGTGGTACCACTGTGATGGTCGCATAGAGAAGAATACTTTGGGATGCCAAAAGTCAGGTGTGAATCAGCATTTAATCTCCCCTTTTTAATGTGGTTGGTACTGGTGGTTCATTGTGTTTGGTGTTTCTCATTTACAGGTTTATACTCTGTCAGGTTAATGAGGGGTCTTTACTGTCCTTGCAGATTTGGAAAGGGGTAGGGACCTGAGGGTCTCAATCTTATTAAACTTTCAAATGACTTGGTTTTAGTCCTACGTTCACCTTTCCTTTAAGAGGTACATGGGGCTTACTTCTGATTCTAGAGTCTTCCAGTTGTTCTATGACCCGAATCACATACTTTCTTAGCTGTCTCTGCTTCTGACTGAATATTCTTTTTGTTCCATTAACAAGTATTATCAGACAAGATAAAAAGTGTCTGTTTTCCAGCTTCCAAAATTTGTTACTATCTCTTTAAGAAAATACTCTTACTGTAATTTCAGTGGGGTTTTGCAAAGAAGTTGAAGCTGATAGATGTCTTCAGCCTATCATTTTAAAAGAGGAATGTCTTCTTTAGTTTTTAATGAAATTAAATAAAATATATGGATTTTTATGAAAAACATATTTGGATTTGGACTTTGGAATACATAGTCCAAAATTTTTGTTTTGTTTTTTGTTGTTGGTTTTTTTTTTTTGGCATTAAGATTTGAACCCAGGGCCTTGCGCATGCTAAATATGAGCTTTACCTCTGAGCTTTACCCTTGGCCTCTGTGAGGCCAAAGTTTTTTGGGAGCTTTTTAAAAAAATTAATTTTATTGGTGCATTTAAGGTATATAATACGACATTCATCATTGGAAATTTGTACCTTTACATATCCATCTTGGTTCTCATTTTTTCCCCATTCCCCTGCCCTCCCTCCAAGCCCCCCCTTCTACAAATACTTTGTTTCCACTTTTTCTTCTCATATTAATTCCATTCCCCTCTTTCTTTTCCCTTATCCTCCCCATTTCCCCATTCGCTTTGCACCTTTTCTTCCTACAAGAGGCAAACTTTTTATCTATAAAGATACAGAGTAGCTCAGTTGTTACTTATATTTGGTGTGTGTGGAGGGGGTGATAGCTAGTTGTACGTAGAGTGTTTTGTTTGGGGACAGCAAAAAAACAATCTAAAGTTGATTGTAGTCATGGTTGAACAACTCTGTCAATATGCTAAAGTCTAAGGAATCTTAGACTTTAAGTTTCAAAACTGTGGTATGAAAATTTAGTTCAATAAAGTTATTTTTATTTTTTAAAAAAGCAAACTTTCAAGATATGGACACTAGAATATCTGATAATAGCCTATTTGACTAATGCATTACTAAAATATTCTAATTTTTCATTTTCTTCTCTCTGTTTAAATGTAAACTCTGAAATAATATTTAGCTCCCTAAATCACCACTTTTTAAATATACTTCCATTAAAAATTATTCTGAAATAAAATATAAATCTGATTTTAGCTAGACATGGTAGTGCCCACTCTGGGAGGCTGAAACAAATGTATCACAAGTTTGAGCTCAATCTAGGCAATTTAGCAAGACCCCATTTCAAAAAAAAGTTTTTAAAGAAGGGCTGGGGATCTAGCTCAGTCGAAAGGCCCTAAGTTCAATTCACAGTATTGCCAAAAAAAGAGAAAAAGATATGATCTTGTTCTTTGTTCATTTAAAATCGTGAAAAAAATCTTGACTAATTTCACAGTTACGTGCCAGGTAAAGTAAGCAATGACTTCCCCAGGGTTTAATAAATTACTTAATTTATTTAATTCATTAACTCAGCAAAGATGGATGCACCACTTTTAGGTGTCAGATACCATTCTCAGCATTGGAGGACATAACGGTGAATGAGACAAGCAAAATCTTTGCATTCACTGAACTTACACTCTAGTGTGGTGATAAGCAGAAATGAGACAAGCACATCATTTAGTATGTTAGGTTATAAATATGGGGGAAGTGGAGCAAATAATGGAGTCTGGGAAACAAGTCCAGAGGAAATATTATAATTTAAATGATATAAGAGTAGGGTGTTATGAGAAGGGAGTAGCTGCTGCTAAGCTCTGGGGCAGAAATGTCCAATTTATATGAAGAGAATAACCCCATAAACCCATGGGTATCTGTGCTTCAGCCACAAACACTTAGTTCTACTTTCTATGATTGTCATTCTTTCTTTTCTGGGCCTATGCATTTCTGTGCCCTCTTTTTAGAATTTTGTTCTCTTCCCCTTTGATCTGACTCCTCTAAATCTATTATGGATTATTTGAGTGATGCACTCTCAGACATTCCTGTGAATACAGATTACCTGGTGGGAAAGCTGCCTGTCTGCCTTTCTGACATACATGCTGAGACCCCATAGCCCACAAAGGTGGCCCATCACAGAGAGGCTCGTCAGTGGTTCTCAACCTTGGATTATACTGGAGCCAACAGGGGAAATTTCATGTATTTATTTTTAAAAATTAATTACTTTTTAAATATTTATTAAGTTTATTGGTACATTTTAGGTGTACAGTACAGTTACAGTTGTCATTGGGATCTTGTACCTTTACATGACTTATCTTGGTTCTTGTTTTTCCCTATTCCCCAGCCTTCCCTTGAGCCTCTCCACCCTTACCTATTTACAGAAACATTGTTTTCATGTTTTTCCTTTTCATATATTTTTTTCCCCTATCCCTCCCACTTCCTCTACTTATTTAGACCTTTTCTTCCTATTACACAATATCAATTATGCACTTTGATTTTTATTTACACTTTCAGTTTATTACACCAGAGAAACTGTTTGGTATTTACACGTGTGTTCTATTAATTTTACTTAAGGGTATGTCCTCAATGTGTATCCACTTAGCTATAAATGTCTCTAGTTTCTCATTCTTTATGGCTGAGTAGTACACCATTTTATTAAAAAACTACATCTTTTTTATCCAGTTTCCATTTGATGGGCAATTAGGCTGTTTCCAAGTTTTAGCTATTACAAACTGTGCCGCTATAAACATGGGTGTGCATATATCCCTGTGGTATGATTCTTTTAATTCTTTTGGGAAGATACCCAGCAGAGGGATGGCTGGGTCAAATGAGACATCTAATCGTATTTGTTTGAGGTATCTCCATATTGATTTCCACAGTGGTTGCACCAGTCTGCACTCCCACCAACAATGGAGAAGGGTTCCTATCTTCCCACAACCCTCCCAGCATTTGTTATTGGTTGATTTCTTGATCACAGCCATTCTTACTGGGGTGAGATAGAATCTCAGTGTTTTAACATTGATAGATTTTAACAGTGGTAGATTTACAGGTGTAAAATTTTTCCTATATATCTTATTATTTATTGCTTATAAACATAGGAAGTAAAGAATGTGGCGTATTTGTGTTAAATAGTTTTTAAATTATGCTTGCTTCTCAAAAAGGAAAAATATCCATGCCTTTTCTCTACAGGTGAACTAAAGTTCTTGATTTTATAGTACATGGCAGTATAATCTATATCTTGATGCATAAATTTTTCTCATTGGGAAAAATGATACGGTTTTAAAATATCTTTAGTTTGCATATCATGGTTAGTTGAGAAATAACATTTATTTACTACTTTTTAATGAAACACTCCTGCATAAATGTCAAATAACTGAATGACTTCACAGATACACTGGTTGGCTGTGAATGGGCGGACAGAATTACTGCATGACCTCGTGCAGCATGTCAGTGATGTTGATGTGGAGGATGCCATGGGCCAGACAGCACTGCACGTGGCTTGCCAGAACGGTCACAAAACGGTAAAGTGAACCATGAAGATGTGCATTTGTTTTTAAAAAGTTGGAATTCTTTCAAACTTTTTCACTGTGTATATTTTGAAAAAGAAGCATTATAGCAAAATATTACTTTGTACATCATATGAACTGCCGATTGATATATGTATAGATGGAGAGAATAGAAAATGGTGCTTTTAACTCTGCTCAAAGTATAACTTTGATTTTAACTTTATTTCTAATTCACAGCTTTTAATAGTTGAATGTAGTAAAAATTTAAATGTAGAAAAAATACTTTGTATCATATATGTATAATGAAAATTCTTATAGTAATTTAAATGTTTCTTGGCATCTACAACTTTTGAGCAGATTTTAAAAATTAAAACCGTATTATTGAAAAAATTTAAATGTAGTACATTCATGTATGTTTTAAAGTTATATTTATTTTAACAAATAATTTTTAACAAGTAATTTTTGTATATTTTACTTATTTGCTATTAAGCTTTATTGAAATCAGGGAGGAGAGTGAGTACTGACACTTTTTTTTTAATTGAATTTATTGCTACATTCTAGGTAGACAGTACAGTTTTACATTCATTACTGGGATCTTGTACCTTTACATGACAGGTCTTGGTTCTCATTTTTTCCCCTTGTCCCCAACCTCCCTTCACCCCCTCTTCCCCTCCCCACCTTCAAACACTTTAATTCCATTTTTACATTTTCTCATATTTTTTTCCTTTTCCCTTATTCCCCTTTCCCTATCCTTCTCACTGTCTCTACACCTTTGGTTCTTTTCTTCCTATTTCACATTGCTAATTGCCCCGTTAGGATCTTGAGTACTATTTTAGTTTTTCACACCAGAGAAAGTATTCGGTATTTGCATATGTGTGATTTATTTATTTCACTTAGGAGTATATCCTCAAAATGTACCCATTTACCTATGAATGAATCTACTTTCTCATTGTTTATGGCTGAGTAGTATTCCATTTTATAGAAAAACCACATCTTCTTTATCCAGTTTCTAATTGATGAGCAGATGGGCTGTTTCCAAGTTTTAGCTATTACAAACTGTGCTGCTATGAACATGGGTGTGCATATGTCACTGTGGTATGATTCTTTCAGTTCTTTTGGAAAGATACCCAACAGAGGGATGGCTGGGTCAAATGGAACCTCTAATCCTAGTTCTTTGAGGTATCCCCATATTGACTTCCATAGTGATTGCACCAGTCTGCACTCCCACCAGCAATGGAGAAGGGTTCCTTTCTCCCCACAACCGCACCAACATTTGTTGTGTGATTTCTTGATAGCAGCCATTCTTTGTGGGTTGAGGTGAAATCTCAGTGTTGTTTTCATCTGCATCTCTTGAATGACCAGTGATGTGGAGCATTTTTGCATGTATTTACTTGCTGCTTTATTTTCTTTTTTGAGAAATGTCTGTTCATTTCAGATACCCATTTTAGAATTTATTTGGGGACGCTGGTTGTTTTGAGTTCTTTATATATTTTAGATAATAGTCCTTTGTCTGAGGAGCAGCTGGTAAAAAGTTTTTCCCACATTGTAGGTTGTCTCTTAGTTCTGTTGATGGTTTCTTTTGCAGTACAGAAGCTTTTTAATAAGATGAGATCCCAGTTGTTGATTCTTTCTGCTATTTCCCGTGCTACTGAAGATTTGTTCATAAAGTCTTTTCGTATGCCAGTGTCTTCCAGAGTTCTGCCTAACTTATCTTCCAGCAAGTTTAGTGTTTTATATTTAGGTCTTTAATCCACTTGGATTTTAATTTAGTGCATGGTGACGGATAAGAGTCTAGTTTTAATCTTTTGCAGGTTGCGATCCAGTTTTTCCAACACCATTTATTAAATAGGCTATCTTTCCTCCAGTGGGGATGGTCAGCTCCTTTGTCAAAAGGTAGCTCAGTGCCTGTGGAGTTGTTTTTGTGTCTTCCAATCTGTTCCACTGATCCTCAGGTCTGTTTCTTTGCCAGTACCATGGCTTTTTATCACAGTGGCTTTGTAGTGTAGCTTCAAATTGGGAATTGTTATACCCAGTGCCATGTGTCTGTTGCCTAGAATGGCTTTTGCTATTCTAGGTTTCTTATGGTTCCAAATGAATTTTTGGATTCTTCTTTCTGGTTCTGTGAAGTATTGTGTTGGGATTTCAATTGGTATTGCCTTGAATCTGTATAGCAGTTTTGGAAGTATGGCCATTTTCACTATGTTGATTCTTCCTACCTAGGAGCAGTGGAGATCTTTCTATTTTCTTATGTCCTCCTCGATCTCTTTTTTCAGAGTGCTGTAGTTTTCAGTGTAGAGGTCTTTTGCTTCTTTTGTTAAATTGATTCCCAGATACTTCATTTTTTTTGGGGGGTGTTATTGTGAAAGGAATTGTTTCCCTAATTTCTTTCTCAGTGAGTCTGTTGTTTGTGTACAAGAAGGCTATTGATTTTTGGTTGTTGACCTTATATCCAGCTATTCTGCTAAAAGCTGACACTTTTTAAATAGTTCAAGGTTGATTACTTATTTTTTTATTTTAGGTTTCTAAAATCATGTCTTTTTTATGGCAATGCTTTACTGTTTTTCCTGTGTAGAGACATTTAATTGTTAATCACTTTTTATTAGGACATATTACTTCTTTATATAAAGGTTGAGAATTTAAAATTTTAGATTGAATTTCTGCTTTATATAGTTACTTATCCCATTTACATGATGGTTTCTTCCTACACATTTAATATTGTTGATGATAAGAGTATCAATTGTTTACTTGATCACCATAAAATAACAAGATCAGCTTGAAAAAGTCATTCCCGACAACTGCAGAGAGATAAGAGTTTATTTCTTTATATATATTCACACTTTTAAGTCTGTATGTGTAAAGTCTCTCTGAGTTTTGTATCTTAACTGGGAGACTTCCTAGGGAAATCTAGATTTCCATCTCTTTATACATTTTTTAACCTTAGTTTGGGAAATAGGATCTCAGATGTTTACATACTTCATATATGACTACAATTCAGGATATTGGG